ACATAGGATGGAAACATTGTCATCCTACCAAAGAGAATGATACCAATGAAACTATATGCAATTATTGTAAAAAAATCATGAAAGGGGGAATTACAAGAGCAAAGCAACATTTAATCAATTATGTTATGAGACTTGATGAATTATGGTATTGTTGTTATCATATTTAAGTATTTAAGTTGATATTATGTTGGTTTTAATTTAGTTTTGTGCTTGTTATTTATTGTTTTGCTGTTTTCTTTGTATATAATATATATAAATATTTTTTTATTTTTATTTTTTTGTCCGCCATGACGTCCGCCATAGGCCGCCATGGCATTCGCCATAGAGTTATAAAAGATTTTTGGCCTTGCCGCCATAGACCGTTATCCGCCATCAATAACCTTGAAATAAATAAAACAATAATAAAAATAAAATTTATTAATTAGAAATAAAAAAATTTGGAAGCAATTAGAAAAGTGAAAGCAAACTAGTAGACCAATTACTTTGTGAAATAAAGTGTATTTTCTTCTAATTGTTCTTCTCAGCTTTTCTTGCTATATTTTTTTATATATATTTTTTAATCCTTTTGCTTTTCTGAATTCAAATTTATTTTCCAGAGAAGACACTTGCTTTTTGTTTCAAAAATTTCACAAATCCAATGTATAGAAACCGGATCTACTAGAATGATCAATTTCAAGTGAAATTTAAAAAACTAGTGCACTATAATTTGAAACTTTGTTAGATTCTTTTGTTCTTTTTTTTTATAACTATTTTGATTTTATATGCTCTGTATTTTCTCTTTTTTCCAGCAAACAATCTTTTAAGAATTGAACCCAATACAAATAGTGCACTAGAAATAAAATAGTTCACTTAAAATTTCAAGACACAAATGAATGATTCAAGATTTGATATGGAAAGTAAATTTGACAACTCAAGTACACAATGGAAACCTAACACTAAGAGTTCACCAATGATCTAATGATGAACATGAACTCAATTATGCAAATAGAAAAGCAAACAAGCAAGGCACATATGAATAAAAATTAATCTCGGCCAAATTCCAAAAGACTAAAATTTTTTGCAACAAGTGAACATACAAGCACATCTTGAATATTTTGACAATTTAAAGGACTAACATGACTTGACAAAACCAAGATTCAAAAAAAACAAGATCAAAACACATGCATACTCAAAAATTAGCCGAATCAAAACAATGATATAAGAAGTGACTCAAACAAATTGAAAATCAGACAAGGTAGAATTCCTAGACTCAATGTTATTGCCGGATTTTCAAATACAATCACACCAATTGGATCTCTCAAAAATTTTGAACAAGAATTTAGATTCAAAAAGAAAAACGCAATTGAGACATAGAAGAACACAAAAACACAAAAAAAAATTCGGTGAAAAGAGATTACTTAGCTCAAGGAAGCAACCTTGCTCATGATACCACTTGATGGAGTTTGGTTGAAGCAAGTGAAGTAGTCTTGCTCCTTTTGACCTTCTCTGAATGTGAAGACCTTTTCCTTGAGCTTGCCACGGTTCAAATGATGGAAGAAGATGATTGGAATGATAGAAGAATCCCTAAGCTAAGGATGGAAGCATCCAAGCTAAAGATCCAAAGGAAAGCTCACTTTCAAGTCTAGGAATGGAGGTTTTCCTAGAACTAGAGTGGGTGAGGTTTCAGTGACTCTTGGAGAGAATTTGGCTGAAGTAAAATTCAGAATTCTCATTCATTCAAAAGTGAATACAAATTATGAAGGATCATGCATATATAGTCTCGGCTAGGGAAGCATTTGGTGCTAAGATTCAAACACCACATGTGGCGCCAAGATTTGAATTCAAATTTGAAATTTGAATTCAAATCTTCACTCCCATGTGCAAGTCCGTGAACTAGGTGCTCTCATGCATCTTTATTTGATTTAGGAAGCATTTAGGGTTGATTTGGCTAAGCACATGTTCAGCCACAAGTGGCACCATCCATGTGATCCCAAATTCAACTTAAATGCCTTCTAAATTAAATCTAGTTTAGCCTAATGTACCTATTTAAGTAATCCCTCAATAATCCTAATCTAATGACCTAAATACAATGGCCAAGCAAATACAATGTAAATTAGAAATTACAAGAATGAAAATGAGCCCAATATTGGGTACCAAAAGCCCAAAGGCCCATGAAGCCCAAAACTAGGCCCAATAAGCCTATAGCCTAAAATGCTATCATAGATGGTCCAAAATACAAGACCCAAATATAGAAAACATATA